GAAAACTGTTTTTTACATTTTGCGTAACGATATGTGATAAACTGTCTATTTTAAAGGATAGAGATCAGAACGAAGTAGGGCTAGGAATGGAACTGGAGAAGAAACCAGAGAGTAGTGAAGCTAAGAGGAGCCCAGATGCTTTATAATGATATATAATACAGATGAGCAATTAAAACCTCAGTTAATGTGTCACACATTTTAGTGTCCAAAAGTATAATTGTATAAAAAGCCCTAAGTATCTTTTGGTAGTCTGTATCTCAAATATAAAGATTTTAAAAGAAGAAGCAAGTTTGTCACGTGTAACTGTCTTCTGTCAGGGAAGTGACCCATATATGAAAATGTTTTGGACTTTCCTGGTAGAGTACACAGATCCTTTCCATAGCTGCTGAACTTACCAAGTCTTGAGCCTAACTCTTAGCTGTGGAGTATCTTTTTGCATTTCCATTTCTGTTACAGTAGTATCTCACTTCTCTGCTGACCTAAAGTTTTTGTATTTGCTTAGCTTCCATTTAGTATTTTTCAAGCTTAAAATTACATGGTAGCTTGTTATGCAGAACAGTTTGATAGGAGAAAAGAGAAATTATTTAATTCTGACTAGAGCAAGACTGACAAGGGAGCACTCAAAGCATGTGGGCTTTCTTAGTGCTGAATCACAGCTCCAGCTTTTGATTTAGTGAGATATATTTTAAATAGAGTCAAATGCATCTTACCTGATTTTCTGCTGGATAGTCATAAACAGAAGTCCGAAGAACAATTGAGGGCTCTATGTAGAACCATTGATACATAACAGATCTAGTTCCTCATCTTTTTCTTAGCTGTATGTGTGGTCTTACATGTTTATACATGTAGAATAAGAGGAATCTATATTTAATTCAAATTTTTAGGTGGTGGTATATTTAGTATTTTATTGGACAGTGAGAAATTGTGTAACTTCTGAAGAAATCAAAACATTTCAAATGAGTTTGAGACAACATAGGCACTAGTATTAGGAGAATGCATGTTCAATCTACATGCTTTCACTTTCTTGCCTGGGGTCTAGTTTGAATCTACCCATCAATAAGGCAAGAAGGAAAGACAAGGCTTTGTTCAGTGAATTAAGTGACAGTCAACGTACTTTTTCCAACTTACCTGGTCCCTGAATGGACTTATCCACTATGAGGTGTTTCGACATGTACGAAGATGTCTTTTGTGAAAGACTTGGGGCCCTGTCACTAGTATAGCTGGGGTGATGTAAGACTTGCTTCCCTTAGCTATTCACACCACACCCACAAAAGGATGAATTCAGTCCAGTTATTATGGACAATTTACCTAATATTGCTCCATATGAAAATGCTCGACTGAATTTGGGCAGCTTAGGAAGGTATACTTTCTGTTGCTGTGCTACACAGGGATAATAACCCTGTGTAGAAATGCTGGGGAAGGGCCATTCAGGGGGCTGATACCATGTTAAATACCCACAGGGAAGATTTACCATAAATCCTTGCCCTGATCCTTTTATGTGCTATTTTCTTGTTGCCACAGTACTGGGTCATTTTTTTTTATTTTTTTTTTTAGGGAATTGTTAGTGATCAGAACATAGTTCATTGGCACCAGGTAAATGGGAAACAAATTCTGCCTTTGACTGGAGCTAGTCAGTGACTCCATCACCTGGGGCTTAAGCTGTTAAGCTAATGATTGCTGCCTGTTAGTAGAATATATTGTAGGCGAGTCTTGCTTACTCTTGGTAGGAAGTTGTTGTCTGGGCTTGTTACCAAAACCCAAGAGAAGGATTTCAACATGTTGCTGATTTTGTTAATTAAAAGCCAGGAAGGTGAATTGGGAGGGAATTCCAAACAAACAGGATGCTTGAAAGGGTATTTCTTATTTATTTTTCTACTTGAAAGGAATAAAGTCACATTTACCATTTAGTTACATCATTTACGAACTGTGTAATTGATAGGGTTAGTTTAATTTTGAATGGGTAACTTCCATAAGGAGTTGGATGTAAGTGCATTTGGAGTTTACTTGTTGCCAGCTGGATGTCCTTTTAGACATATCACTTTTAGTCATGAAATCTCCATTGTTTTATGCACCCCATTTATATTTCCGCTAGAGAATTTAACTGAAAGTATCTATTTATTGGTTATAGAGTACTTGAAATATCTAGGTTTCAGTATTTCATACTAAGGATATGATTTGTCTTCTAATATTCAGTGTTATGCATGATCAGAGTGAGGGACCTGGCTGATGCCCTGTAATTGTTTGAGTAGAAACATGCTGGCCATTGCTCAAAACAAGAATGGGAGTAACAGTATAGCATCTTTAGTTACAAAATAAGAGGCCTTCTAAACCCACATCTGTCTAGTTGCAACTTCAAGTAGCCTTCATTCCTAGGGTGCTCAAAATTACATCTTTCAATGTACGTCTCAGTCATTGGGTCCTCACTGTTTGCCTTTGACTCAGACACGCTGTGCATTAACAGTGCAAAGAAAACTTCCACTTGATCTCAATTCACAGTCTTTATCCAGATTTGATCTGCTCAGTAGCAGCCCAAAGTTGCAGTTGTGATTAAAATTATTAGCTTCATTCTGGATTATGGTGACAGCAGACAAGAGTCTTTAGGGAATTTAATTGTGAGGGTCTAGCAAGTTCTTAGTTGAACTTAGTGAACTTGTGAGACTCATTTTTCAAAGGCTTTTTCAGTTTGGCCAAATGTAAATAAAATTGACTAAACCTCAGAGTAACAGTTTCTTTATATAGGGAAAAGTTGTTTTCTAGCCTCCAGCTTTCCACCCAGGGAAAACCAGGAGTATATACAGAAGTGAGATTATTTAATCATATGAATATGAGCCAGTTTGATAATCATGCAACACCCTGGTGACGTGATCTCTAATTCATATTTTCTTTCTGGCTTCATTGAATTATTTGCAAACAAAGGCAAAACCAAACCATAATTTGTTTTATGATTTGACTCAACATTTATTTATGTTTACCCTGGTCATCCATAAGTCTTTGTTTCAAAGTGTAAGGTCACTAGAACCCCTTAATGAGATGGTATCAAAGCTTAAAAAGGCCAGACTTTTCTCTTGGACACTTCTTAACCATATCATTGTGGCAGGAAGAAAAGCATAGCCTACGAATAGAATTTTACTCCAGATGGTTAAAGTTTGGCAAAATTATAAGCAACTGAAAAGTCAGACATATAACGGGATGTGTCATGCAGACTTGATAATAGGCTATGCAAATATGAGGTAAATGGTAATGTGTTTTCCTACTCTATTTTGGAGCGTCAAAATAGGAGTGGTTAAAATAAGATAGATTAATCCTAGTTTTAAGAAAGTGTGTAGCATGGTGTTTACTGCCTTATTCTCAATAGGTATTTGGGAAAATAAGACAGGTTTAATCACAGAGGAAATGTTTAATTTAATAGTACAAGATACAGAATATAAAAAAACCTTCCAATACCAGATGTATGTTCAGGAGTCCTGTAGGATTGATTATAAAAAGTTGATGCAATCCAATCATAGAATCTAGCTGCATTAGTGTATACAGAGATGGTGCAAATACTGTCAAGAATCATTACTTCAGTATTACTTTTCATGCAGTTTTGAAACAACTCTATTGACAATCTTTCCATATTTTTTATTTCTATGTAAGCTCACTCTGTACCTCCAGCAAAACGTCCACATGTGGAAGGAGACTGCTTACGTACAGAATAATGGTACAGAACTGCAAGTAGTAGTATGAAATAAGGGGATTTCATATTTTATCATCGTGTCATCAGTACACTGTAGTTAGGTCAGAATGACTTATGATGAAGTTATGATGACATTCATGGCACAGCAACACTGAGCCCAGCACTGTGTAATTTAACCTTTCGTTGTAAGCAAAATTTCAGCTACTGCAACATAGCCTGAATTTCACTTGTAACCTAAAGGAGGAAGGCTTAACAATGTTACCAGTAGTTTCAGTTGTTCAATTACTCTTTGATCCCTAACAATACCGTAATCAGAGTAACAGCATCTTCTGTTGAATGTCGTGACAGACTACCTAAGTTAGGTTTTCTCCCTTTTAGGAAACATTCTTTAAAATCTTTGAGAACGAGTACTTGCAAACAGAAATCAGCCTGCGTTCAGGTACTGCATCATTAACCTATTAAAACTTGTCTTCACAAAGATTAGTATTAATAAAGTGGATGTATTGTTTTATGAAATAGCATGTAAATGAATAATTCATATTAATAAATCATTTTCTTATGAATTTGTTCAGAGGACTGTATTGTGTTGAAGTGATTCTCATTAAAAATAGGTCACGTAGTGTGAGGTGCAGGAGAACCTTCAAGTGATGTCAAGTGTAACTTTCGAAAGAGGTTTTGTCACAGAGTTGTAAGTGAGGATGATAGTAAGGATCTTTCACTGGCATTTCACCTTATATATCCATGAAAGAAATTCTGTCTACCAATTCTGTCTACCTTTTCCTTGATGAATTTGCTCTTTAGTTGCTGTGGTTGGCAGCAACATTGTGAATTTTGTCATATAATGAGGAGTATGTGTGACGTTCCCACCAGGTATGTGCATTAAGGAAAAAAAGGCCTTATGTGGTTAATTGAAGACAGTGTGATGACGTAAGCACAGTGGAGGGAACATAAACACCCTCAATTCTGATTGGTGTTTCTTAGCGCCTGAGTATGTGAATCTGCAGCCTTTAACAGTTTTAAATATAGTTTGTCTGTATTATAGATTAAATAAAAATGGAAATGTGGGATTGTGTTTAAATAGGCAGCAGGCTTTTCAAGCCCATTTTCTTTCAATATTGACACTTTTTGCTTGAGTGGGTTGGAAAAATGGCAAACATAACATATGTTGTATAAATAACTGAGCAGTATAGCACCATAGTGGATATATAAATGTCTTTCTTATAATTTTATCTGCAGTCTTTAAAAACCCATCTCTCACTAGCAATGCAGACACAGTTAACATCTTCACAAATTTGCTAACCGTGGTGCTCTGTTCGTTTTCTAGGATTTTCTTTGCATGCTGTTGGAAGACATACCTGAACAAAAAGAGTAAGTGAGAACCAGGCTAGAAAAGTCAAATAAGAAAGTAGAAAGTGTATCTGAATATCAGTTGTGCTGGCCAGAAATAGTAGGATTTCATTTAGTTTTGTTCCGCTTATTTTTTTCAAGTTTGTGTGTGTAACTTTCTCTGAAAATTCTCCCAGATACATACACAAAAACCACAAGACTTGCTGCATTGTTCTATCCCATGGTCGCCCTGATGGCCAAGCAGTGCATTTAACTTGCATGTTAGGGCAGTAGTGAAGTCCTATGTCCACTGTGTGATCGGAAGTGCCAGGCACAGCTGCATACTCAAACTAATTTGTGATCCTCTTACCACCTGCTTTTGGCACATGGCACCCTAGAGCAAGGAGGCCAGAGCTTTGCTGTGGATGCAGGAAACTAGAGAAGATGGATCTTTCTGAAGTAGTAGTGTGGTACCGCGTCCTGCCATGCAGTGTTCCAAACAGGGAAGGATGGAAAATGTTAGTGGAAATCCAGCATTAATTCCCTGACATGTCCTTCAAAATCCTCCTATGTGTGACGGTTACTGGCTGAAGATGATACATCTAGTCTTAAGCAGAGCTTTGAAACCATCCCTGCTTCTCCATTGGTTTGCTCTGTGTAAATACAGGCTGTGATATAAATACAGGTTCTTTTGAGGTAGAGCTTTGCGTGTTACAGCTTTTAAAAACAATGTATTAACTTGGAAAATGCAGGTTTGCGGAGCAAGATTCCAAACTGTTCATAACTGGGTGAGTAGTTTGCGGGGTGGTGGGGGGAAGGAGAGAAGGAATACACAGAATTCAAATGTATTGATATTTTAGTGAAACAATTCTGTTCTTAGGGAGTGTGAGGGACAGAGAAGCTAGTGATCACTGAGAAAATGTGTTTTGTGGCATCATGAGTTTAATCTGGGTGGTGTTAATTTTTCTTTGTTTATGTCACTGAATACGGGTTTCCAGCTGAAATATAATCAGGAGTATTAAATGGAATATATATGAAAGTGAATGATTTAATGGCATGATTATACATTGATTTGTTAATGAAACCTCTACTTTCCTTCCTTTTTTCACTTGTGTTTCTCTGAAGTCCAAACCCAGTGCAAATGTTATTTGAATAAGTATCCAATTTTCCACCTAGAAATATGCCAAAATATTTAAACTTTCAGTGAGACTAATGCAAAAGAAGTATGTCTCTATTTGCATTGCACCACACTCCAGAATGTATTAACAAAATTTCAGATCTATGGTAATTAATTTTACAACCAAGCATACTGCATATCTGAACTTACCTACTGCCAAAGTTACCATGGGTGCAGATATCAACAGCGATGCCAAAAATAACAGAACATCTGGATATACACAAGTCCTTTATTTCTTACCTGCTACAAAGTTTTTTTTTCATTCTTGAACATATCCTGTTGCTAGTACACAAATACTAGCCTGAGGTAAAAGCAAAGGAAGGAACAATAAAAATGACGTATCTTTAGATATCATCTGCTGATGAGTTGCACAAAGTTTCAGTTGTAGGAATTAAATGCATTTCAAGATCAGAGCAACAAAATTCTCTGTAGCACATGAAACTTCCTAGACTTGTTCCCTTCTGCCCAGTACAATTTTTATGTTTAAACTAAATGATTCTTACTTGAAAAATATGAAACGCTCTAATATACTAAGGTTTGTAATGGAGTCTGGATTTAGTAATTACCAAAAAAAAGAAAGAAAATACATTATTAGTAGGAAATCAAGCCAAATCCTTCCTTCAGCTGCGGCAACAGAGGCAAACTAGTCTAGCCAGAATCAGAATTTGGTTTATGGGAGACTTTTTTAATGAGAACAGGATTAACACTGGCAGAAAGCAATCATACAACAGTGTGGAAATTTCTGTAATTATTATGTTGTGGTAATGCAACATTAGCTTTCTGCTGTTGGACACAGCAGACTGTATTTAAAAGATTCTCACTCTGTCAGTACTTAATTCCTTTAGTTTTCAGTTACATGAGATTTTTCAGTACATTCCCAGCAATGAGCAGTTCCAAGATACAGACATAACCTCTTAAGTGGCAGTTATTGATTTTTGCTGCCTTCTGTACTCAGAGGAGGAGGATTATATACCTAGTTTATAGGGCTGCTTCACTTCCTGCTCTGACTCAATTTTAATGGCGTCTTAGCTGTTGGGATCCATTCTGCAAGGAATGTTTCTGGACTGCAGCTGAACACTGACATCAGACAGCCCTAGCACTACCTCTGGTTCTTTAGAACTTCCTGACTTGCTCCTGTAGAAGATTGTTTCTTTATGTGAAGGGCTAATGGCAAGAAAGACAAACAAATATCTATCATTATCCTTCTCTGTTTTCAAAGCCTTTTAAAATATAACTTGCACTGGCTGTAGTCTCATTATCATGGCCATTCTGTAACAAACCCACAATACTTCCCACCTGTAACTGAGTTATCTTATTTCCTCATATATAACTTGAAATGTCACTAAATAAAATAAAATTCAAAAACAAAATACAAAACCAAAAACCACCCCCAAAATGAAATTAAATCAATCAACAACAAAACACCCTCTTATGTGTCTGTACATCAGAGTGCACTAGATCTAAAACTGCCAGTGGCTCTGTTCTCTGCACCCACAGTCTTTGCTGTAAGTTGATCCTCTCCACGTCTGCCCAACATGTGCGCTGTGCAGACTCAATGTTTTTAAGGCCCTGTAACAGAGAGTGAATTTTACCAGCCTTAGATAAATCAGTCACAGCTGCTTGTGCTCTTTATGACTGCAGATTTTTTTGAGCAAGTCAGTTGTGTTCTTTGGGGTTTTCTGGTGGTATTTTTTATTTAATTTCATTCCATAAAATAAGTGTACTAATAAAGCTATGGTTTTAACATTTCACAATAGACAAAGGAAAGCATGTGTCACAGCTCTGATATTTGTACTGTTAATAACTCAGGCTTACTAATGACATTCCTTCGGTGTCTTAATAAGTTGTCAGTTAAGTACTAATTAATATCAATGATTTAATTGATATTAAAATAATGCTGCAATTTCAAACAACTCAGCTATACAGATGTATGTTTCTTTCAGATTTGCTTTCTTTGTTGCTCACATTGTTGTAAATGCGGTGATTTTGATTGAGACAAACAGCTGGTAGACACCTAACTCCGAAAGCAAATTTTCCCAGTGGTTTTAATTCCCTTGGGGGTTTTATTCTTTTCTTTTTTTTTTTTTTTCTTGTCTGGCTAGTTAACAGAATCACTAATCATTCACTAGTCTTTGATTTGTTCTAGCTATGCCTCTATATTTAGCTGGAATGGCTTACTTTGAAAATGATGGATGTGTATGAATGTATATATGCAGATGAAACAAATATATTTGTTGGGGTGTTTTCAGTTGGATATGGCAGACTTTTTATCTTCCTTTAAAAAAAAAAAGTTGCATATCTTCATGTGCACTGTTGATTTGCCGCAACATCTTATTCTAGAAGTGGTTTCTTCTCCTCAACTGAGGAATTAAGTGGGCTTATGTTAAAGTTTGTAGAGTGCCTTGGGGTCTTGTGCAATGACAACTTGATGTACAGACATTTTTTATAATCCTAATTTTCAAGTTATCATTAATACTAGTATTTTACAGAGCTTGCTCTGAAGTATTGAATCTGGCTATGAACAGTATGTATGCACTTCAGGAGATCGTTCCTAGGCTGATTGTCTTGTAATCTAAACAAATAGACAAGGAATGACATAATGGATGTCATTATATTCTCATTTTACAGTAGGGAACTCTAGTACAAAACCACTGAAGAACCTGCCCAGCCTTGTAAGAGCTCTTTTACAGTGGGAATCAATTGTACCCAGATCTCACAGTCCAACAGAGTACTTTAACCATAAGGCCTGTTCTATTCAGGAAATCACACACACACCAGATTTAAGCTCTTACAGATGCTGAACTGCAACATAAGCAGGTGGTAAGTGCCCTTTCTGAATATCGATGCTTTACTGAACTGCAGCCCCTACAAATATAAAGCCCTGTGTCCTCACTTTGAAACAACAATCTGTTTGACATCTTTTTTGGGGCTTGATCATTGTCCTGTACCATAAAGAAAAAAAAGAAAACAATAGGAAATGAAAGCATGTGTAAATGGTTTTATTGTTATTGTAATCTGAATGTTCTTTTCCCTTAATCTGCAGCTTCCATTTTTTGGTATGATGCTTTTGCCATGTATGCAAGCATATTTTAGGAGCTGAATGACAAAAGGCAGCATTTGTAAAGCAGGGCTTTCTCATTTTTAAGGCACCTGGTGTCTGATTTTTGCCTTTGTTACAAAATTCCAGTGTATGTTGCATAAATCAAAACCAGATTGCTTATCTTTTTCATATACTATTGAACAATTACTCAGTAAGGAGCCATCTGACTCTCCACTTTAATCAGATTCTTCCACCCCTAAGGCAGAATTTTAGTCTGTTAGGTAGACCTGCTCATTTTAATGGACCTCCTTCAGAATACTGTTCATTATAAGTAGGGATGGCAGATCTCCCACCACAGTGTTGTAGAGTGGAGGCTGTAACTATTAATTCTACTTCCAGGGAATGCTAGCACATAGTTCTGCTTGGAGACAGAGGATAAATTTCCCATTTTGAATTCAACATGGACAAGACTATCTAAGTCAGGATAGAAGCCAGGTCTGAAAAAGTGCTGTTGTTAATATCATAATTTAAATCCTCGGCAATTCCAAGTAAAACTATCCAAGTTTTAAAAAAGCAGTACCTATGATTAGTAAACACAGATACTTTTACTTTATGACCAGGGTCATCTACTAACATATTCCCTGACTGCTTTTAAGACTCCATAAGCTCCATGAGTCTTAGTCTTCAAACCTGCATGTCACACATAAGAGTGACTGATCTCTCTCCCATTGGCATAGTGAAATGTAATATTTAAAGGCATTTAAAAATTGTTCACTAAAAATGACTATTTGTTACAAATTCTTCTTAGTCACTGACACAGTCCATAAGTAAACTCCTTTAGGATCAGGATTTTGAGCACAGCTTTTTCAGGGTTTGGTGGAGGAGGCGGAAGAGAAGAAAATACTTCTTTGTAAGTAAAATAAAAATTATATTGGGTTGCTTGCCTTCCTGTTTCAGAACCCTGAAATGGCTGTTCTTTTTCTGAATGCTTTCCTGGTTATGGGCCTAAATTACACATGTGAAGGTAGCTGCAGGTACTAGAATCATTCTTGCAAGGCATTACCGTGCACATTACCATGCATACATTTTTTATATATATTTTTTTAAATTGGCTTCCCTGCAAGTTGGGAAATCTTCAACCAGAGCTGAAGTAAATGCAATAGGAGTTGCTTGCAGAAGTAAAAAGGGAAATACAGTGTTTGAATTTGCAAATACTTCTGTATTATCTTCACATTGGTTTGAGGATAATTGGGTCATCTGCAGAAGGGAGCCTGAACTCTGATTCTCCTCATTTAAGGCCAATGATAGCTGCAGCCTATCTGCCTTGAATATATTCTCCAGCAATTTGATGATTTTGATTTATATGAAAATGAATATTATTTATTTATTTATTAGGGACTGCAGTGACAGGACAAGGGGTAATGGGTTAAAACTTAAACAGGGAAGTTTAGATTGGATTTCAGGAGGAAATTCTTTCCTGTTAGGGTGGTGAGGCACTGGAATGGGTTGCCCAGGGAAGTTGTGAATGCTCCATCCCTGGCAGTGTTCAAGGCCAGGCTGGACGAAGCCTTGGGTGAGATGGTTTAGTGTGAGGTGTCCCTGCCCATGGCAGGGGGGCTGGAACTTGATGATCTTAAGGTCCTTTCCAACCCTAACTATTCTATGATTCTATGTGGTTATTTCAGTCCCACACAGCTTGATCAAGACAAACTATTGCCTTTTGCTGTGGATCCAGTTTTCTGTGAATGTTATCAAAGACACAAAGAAAGTGCAGACAATATGAAACTAAAACAGATACCTGTTAACTAATACATATCAGTGCCTTTTAAAACACAGAAGTTTAAGGAAGTTTGTCTTTAATTTCATTTCTTTAGTATCTTATGTTTCCATTTAGGCTCTTCTGTAGTAAAATACTGGGTTTGTATGTCTCTGGCTAAATATACTTCTCTGTGTTTTTGTTTTTTTTTTAAAGTCCACTCAAAAAATAGAGCACCTGTTCAGACTTTACATGTTTCGTAAATGCAGTTTACCATCTTACATTTTCTCTGTCAATCCTCATAAGCACTGAATTTATCATTTGAGTTTTAAGCACATAATACCTGATCTGTCTTTAATTTGCTCATGTCACCTCTGATGGTATTACTCATTTAAGAAACCCCAAGAATGTAGTACCAGTGCAGTACAGTCAGTACATGGATTTGAGGGTTTTACTTAGCTTCTAAAGGGTTAATTTTCATACAGGAAAAAATATATTTTTGTGTATGTCTTCAATTTTATTTTGTTTTTTTTTTCTTCTAAGATCTGGATTAACTGCAGAAAGGATCTTCCAGAATTGGCTTGACACTTCCGGAATACCAAAGGTAAATACAAAATACCAATTCCCAGTTCTTGCATTTCTCATTACATTATGTTATTTAAATCATTACCTGAACTTAAAACAGGCATGGCTTAAAATACACAGTTTTGATAATGACTGCTTTCCACATCTTTATAGGGGTTTAGCTTTTATTGGTTGCAGTTTTTTGCTTCTACTATTGCCTCAACAAGACTGACAAAGGGCAAATCTTACAAAAGTTATCCTATTGATTAATACTGTAGGCATATGGAAGTATGCTTTACAGTATAGCTGTAGACTCTATTAAATGCAAGGAACATTGTTGACAGTTGACAGTATATGAATTACCTAAAAGCCATACTGACAGCAGTAACTAAATGTTCAATTATTTGTACTCTTGATATTTTGTGAATATTGTGACTTGCTCATGAAATCTTATGCATAGGTAACATACTTCATTGCTGTCCTACTATTCCCCTCAATAGTACATAAAAGTTCTGACTGGGCTGGGCCAGCCCTGTTGGCAGATCCTCTGGTGTTGACCAACCAGGTGGCTTTGGTAAGTGCGTATCCCAGTATCTGAAAGTCCCACCACCCATTGCTCTCAGTGTAGTTTTTAACAGCCCATTGTACCGTCTGATTTTCCCAGAGGCTGGTTAGTGGTAGGGGATGTGATATACCCACTCAATGCCATGCTCTTCGGCCCAAGTGTCTATAAGGTTATTCTGGAAATGAGTCCCATTGTCTGACTCAGTTCTCTCTGGGGTGCTGTGTCACCACAAAATGTGTTTCTCAAGGCCCAGGATAGCGTTCCGGGCAGTGGCGTGGGGCACAGAGTATGTTTCCAGCCATCCAGTGGTTGCTTCCACCATGGTAAGCACATGGTGCTTGCCTTGGCGGGTTGGTGGGAGTGTGATATAATCAATCTGCCAGGCCTCCCCATATTTGTACTTCAGCCATCATCCTCCATACCAAAGAGGCTTTAACCGCTTGGCTTGTTTAATTGCAGCACATGTTTCACACTCATGAATAACCTGGGCAATAGTATCCATTGTTAAGTCCACACCATGATCATGAGCTCATCTGTGTGTTGCATCTCTGCCCTTATAGCCTCAAGCGTCATGGGCCCACTGGGCCAAAAATAATTCACCCTTATGTTGCCAATCTAAGTCCATCTGAGCCACTTCAATCTTAGCAGCTTTATCCACTTGTTGGTTGTTCTGGTGTTCCTCAGTGCCCAACATGGCGTACCTTCACCACCAGGTTCTGCACCCGGGCAGCGATATCTTTCCGCAGTGCAGCAGCCCAGATGGGTTTACCTCTACATTGCCAGTTGCTTTGATTCCATTGATGAAACCACTCCCACAGGGCATTTGCTACCATCTGTGAGTAAGTGTAGAGATAAGTACTGGCCACTTTTCTTGTTCAGCAATGTCCAAGGCCAGCTGGATGGCTTTCACCTTGGCAAACTGAGTCGATCTACCCTTTCCTTCAGCAGTTTCTGCAACTTGTCATCGGGGACTCCATACAGCTGCCTTCCATTTCCGGTGCTTTCCCACAATACAGCAGGACCCATCAGTAAGCAAGGCATACTGCTTTTCACTTTCTGACAGTTTAGAATCATAGATTCACAGAATAGAATCATAGAATAGTTAGGGTTGGAAAGGACCTTAAGATCATCAAGTTCCAACCCCCATGCCATGGGCAGGGACACCTCACATTAACCATGTCACCCAAGGCTTCGTCCAGCCTGGCATTGAACACTGCCAGGGATGGAGCATTCACAGCTTCCCTGGGCAACCCATTCCAGTGCCTCACCACCCTCACAGGAAAGAATTTCCTCCTTATATCCAATCTAAACTTCACCTGTTTAAGTTTTAACTCATTACACTTGTCCTGTCACTACAGTCCCTAATGAAGAGTCCCTCCCCAGCACCCTTATAGGCCTCTTCAGATACTGGAAGGCTGCTATAAGGTCTCCACGCAGCCTTCTCTTCTCCAGGCTGAACAGCCCCAACTTTCTCAGCCTGTCTTCATATGGGAGGTGCTCCAGTCCCCTGATCATCCTCGTGGCCCTCCTCTGGACTTGTTCTAACAGTTCCATGTCCTTTTTATGTTGAGGACACCAGAACTGCACACAATACTCCAGGTGAGGTCTCACGAGAGCAGAGTAGAGGGGCAGGATCACCTCCTTTGACCTGGTGGTCACACTCCTTTTGATGCAGCCCAGGATATGGTTGGCTTTCTGGGCTGCAAGCGCACACTGCTGGCTCATGTTCATTTTCTCATCAACCAGCACCCCCAAGTCCTTCTCTGCAGGGCTGCTCTGAATCTCTTCTCTGCCCAACCTGTAGCTGTGTCTGGGATTGCTCCGACCCAGGTGTAGAACCTTGCACTTGGCATGGTTAAACTTCATTAGGCTGGCATCAGCCTATCTCACAAGCGTGTCAAGGTCCCTCTGGATGGCATTCCTTCCCTCCAGCATATCAACCGAACCACACAGCTTGGTGTCATCAGCAAACTTGCTGAGGGTGCACTCAATCCCACTGTCCATGTCAGCGACACAGATGTTGAACAAAGGTGTTGAACATATGGCCCAGTCCAGACTGATCCAAGGGCTATTGCATGAACTATCTCGTGTTCAGTTTGCTTAAAGGCTTGCTGTTGCTCAGGGCCCCATTTAAATTCATTCTTCTTCTGGGTCACATGGTAGAGAGCTCTTCCAATTAAACTGTAATTTGGGATGTGCGTTCTCCAGAACCCCACAACACCCAAGAAAGCTTGTGTTTCTTAACAGCAATGTCTCTACCAACTAATATCTTGTTGATTGCATCTGTGGGGATCTGGTGACTTCCGTCTTGTCATTTTATTCCCCAAAATTGAACCTCCTATGCAAGTCGCTTAAGCTTACTCTGGTTTATGGCAAAACTGGCCTTCAGAAGGATTTGAATTATTTTCTCCCTTTGAGATAAGAACAGCCCAATAACTAAAGTGTAATATAAAACTACTACTGCTTCTAGTAATAATAATAATAATGATAAGGGAAATAACAAGGGAAGAGAATACAGATGCTCACCACCTGCCAACCAATACCCAGCTCGACCCGAGCAGTGATCACTCCCTCCTGGGTACCTCCCCCAAGTTTATGTACTAGGCATGATGTGCTGTGGTATGGAATACCCCTTTAGCTACTTTGGGTCAGGTGTCCTGTCTCTGCTTCCTCCTGGCTTCTTCTGCCCTTCCACGCTGGCAGAACATGAGAGACTGAAAAGTCCTTGACCAGGGTAAGTGCTACTGAGCAACAACTAAAACATCCATGTGTTATCAGCACTTTTGTCAGACTAAAGCCAAAACACAGCACTGCGGCAGCTACTAGGAAGGAGAAAAATAACTGTTACAGCTGAACCCAGGACAGTCATGCATTTGATATTCCTTCATTTATTGAAAAAAAACCTTGAATTTAATGCTGTGCTTTGATTAAAGTTTTGTTTCTGATAAAAAAATTCAGTATGTTGTAGAACAGCTGCTTCAAGTACATGGGATAAACTGACATTTCACAGCTGTAGTTGTAAGTGCTGAAATGTCTGCCTGAAATGGAAGAGTTTTCTTGCATTTTACTTACAATATCTGCTGACAGTATTCTGCTTCTTCTGAGCATAGCATGCTGACCTCTTCCCTGTGACTCTCTTTCTGATGGTTTACCTTTTTTGCCTTAAGCACTTCTCAGGCTCCTATGGGAGGTTGTTTCCACTTTACTGAAAGAATTGCAGTTGTCATTCAGCAAACAGGAAAGCTTATTTCCTTTGTATTAAATAATCTGGGGATCCTCTATTCTTAAAATCAAAACTTTCAATACATTAATATCTATAATCTAAATATGACTGTATTTACTGACTACAGAAGTATAAATCTACTTATGTGCTGTACAGGAGCTTATACTGAACCCCCCTTAAAAAGTATGTAGATTATTTCACCAAACTATTCACTTGGCTAATGTGCTAAATCTTATGTAAAGGCACATAGACCACCATTATACATGGAGGTTAACTACTTGCATTATAGATATCAGCCCAGGAATGCCACAGAACTGACCTTCTCATGTAGGTTGCCAGGTAAGCAGACTAGGGTGCATGTAGAGGAAGGTTCCTGTCAGCTCCTTTCTCCTCCTCATACTGTTCACTTCCCTGTCAGGCAGTGTAAGCAGTATGAGGTGCAGACTGTCCCTTGAAGTTGATTACCTTTCCTGAATACTGAAGCAACTGAAAAGCAGCTGGTGAATGTCTGCTCCAATGATGTCTCAGTGGCACAGGAGCAGCATCCTGTGCCGTACACAGGATTCAGCAACTTTCTGCTTATCACCCGTATTTTACTGAATGTATGATAAGAGTCCTCTAACATGAGAGTTAGTCACTCAATCCTGCAGCACCTTATGGACAAAAAGTAGTTCTCAGTGGTTTAGTGAGAAACATCTTGATTGAGAATGTAAACATTTTACATTTACTAATACTGTCTAAGACTTCACTGCATTTGGAGAGGAAACTTCCCTACTGGAGAGACAATCCTCTGTAATGGGATTGGGGAATATGCATCATGTCATCTATTCTGAAAATCAAATTAGAACACGCTTTCCTTATACCTTTCCCATATGAGAACCTTTATATTCTGTGGTGGCTGTGGTTGCTTCTGTGGCATCTTTTATTTCTATGTTTTGGCCCACCCCTCAGTTCACTGTCTTCATGCAGTGTCTAGGGTAAGGACACTCTAAAGCTACTTGTGTAAAAGATGGTTGAGAGTAAATACTTTCTACTACGGAGATTGATGAAGCAATGTTACTTACCATCTTCCTTCCAATAGGGGAATTCCAATAGAGGAATTTTGTACTCTTTACATACATTATATGTCATGGTATCTATCTAACTGAGTATCGTGTACTCCTTTATGTGTGCTTTGTTACATTTGCCATTCCAAATCCTGTCTCCAGCTCTGTCCAGGGAACCACATACACATGTACCCCTTTATACTTGC